TCTGAAGTGAAAATAAGGTAAATTATGTACCCTTATTGAGATTATACATTATATCCACACTTCTGCTAACAAAATATCTCCGTATCAACACACACGATAGTAATAGATAATAATTCTGAATTGGGAAGTAAGTAATGCTTCCTCCCCTGTCATTGTAACTTCAGTTTCATATACCTTTACCTATTTAATAATTTAAAGACAGTTTTGCTAACAGAAGAACAGAAAAGGGAGAAGGAAGAAGATGAGTTTTACCATCATATCTAATAAAGAATTATACAAATATTAGAATGCAGAATGTAAGGAAATTTAAAGATGCAGTCATGTGCCCAAAACTAGATTTTGTAGACAAGAACTTTTTAGAGTACCCAAGAGTAGATTGTTAGCCACAGTCATGGACATACTTCGTAGCTAAAATTACATAGCAAAGGAGTGCTGCAGAGGTGGTGATGGTGAAAGGTTGTACATACTTACATTGACATCAGTTCTGTCAGCCACCCAGCGAGCGAGCTGCTCAGCTGCAAAGCCCCGCACCTGAAGTTCATACGTGTCACCCCGTTTCGGCTTCCCTTTAGCAGGGAAGTTAATGAAGGTTGGAGCAGAGTTCATGTTTAGCTGTAGTTAGAAAATTCACAGAAGCTACAGCACCATGAAAGGTCTCTTTAGTAACACAATTCTATTCCATTTATATCCTGCAACATCATCACCAAATCAATCTGAAAAAGTAACTATTCAGTAAACACATTTCACTGACAATGACTTAAAAAAAGAGCAACGGCAGCACACAGCAGCATTCCTGTATTTCTTAACAGTAATCAATACGTTCCTGCTGTTTCCCTTTCATGCTCCATGCTGTCTTCTTTGAGCTCGGTCACTAGCTGTTCTAGATGTCTTAGAAATAAATTGTTACTTCCGAATAGGCTATTTTGTATTTTAAAACACAATTGAGTGTGATTTCTAAAAGCAATTGACATTTCCTTGGTAGTACTCAGATCTATAGCTACTGATCAAAAGATTCAGACCAGTTAAGAGGAGATTATAACAGGTAAAAGTAGTTGCTTACAAAATACAGGTCTGGCTTTTCCTAACACTGCTTTTCCCATAGCATTTCAGCTTTTTAACCTGTTTCTTCTCTAAATACTACTTGTGGAAGAGAAATCTGCGCAATAGTAATATTGCACAATAATCTATAAAGGCCATAGCTCAATGAATGAATTTTTGATATAACACTTCAGGAAAATTGATCAAGAATAAGAAGACATCCCTCTCCACTTCTCCAATCCCAAAGCTTCCATTTAATAAAGTATCATTGCCTAAATTGTGTAGGTTTTAAATAGGATTCATAATCCCTTAAAAACAAGAGTTAAGATTTGCAAAACTATAATGAACTTATTGAATTAATGTGATCTACGACTACAATCTAATAACGGTGGTTACATAGTGTCAATAGAAGAGCAAGATGACATTACCATCTGAAACACATCTGAGCCTTCATCAAAGTCTACCATGGCAAAAAAAATCCTATTGGTAAATGCACTGGAGTATCGCCAGGAGTTCGCCAGAATCTGGTATTCCTCATCAGCTTGCCTGTAAAACACACCAAGTGAGAGGCTGTGTCATATGTTTGTTCACAACACAAGTTATAAAGTAGCTCAGGGAGCTGTAGCCACCCACCTCATTCATGGGTGCATCACACAGGCCCTTATATTCACTTCCTAGTGGTAAAAAAAAGGTTTAAGGCCAGAGACTCATCAACAATAAAGTGAAGCATTTGGCACCACTGATTTTTTAAATGCAAGAGCAAGTTTCTGTTGAGTCCATGAACACAAGCAGTGGTAATTTCTAACTGAAATGGAACCCAGCAGCTCATCATTTGCTAGTCCACAGAGCACCAAAACGAGCAGAGATGTGCCCTCTTCTCCAGGTCAGAGGATGGGAAACCAACTAATTTCAACTGACTGGGTATAAAAGTAATCTTTTACAGACTTCTGCCACCTCCAGATTAACACACGAAAGCCATAATACGGTTATTTACAATTATACTATGTTGGATCCTTAAATAAGTGCAAATCAACATCTTCATTAAGAGCAACTTTCAGGCTGTGTGGCCAGCAGTAATTCTACAACCATTTCTCCAGCAGCTCACGTCAGAGAAGTTGAGTTTTCACCCACCCTTTCCTCCTCCAGAAGCCTATCAGTGTGAACATTGCTTCTGCAAAGCAGCAATTATTTTAGGAGAGAGATAAATAATTCATGACTATGTCATTTTCTCACATACACATTACTCATATATTCCCACACATTGGATTGCAAAGATAGCCATACCATAAGCATCTAGTGCAGTATATTCCTCCCATGTACATGAAAGTTTTATCCTACACTTCAATGAATTCTGCCAAAGCATAAGATGACTTTCAAGCTCTAATGTAGGACTAAATGGAGCCCATACTTGCACACAACACACTGTCTGTGAGGCTGGAGAGCAGTGAACATCACAATCACCGAGTAATTTCTGGGTGGTGCCTTCACAAAGCGTCGAAATTTGTCTCCGTTCATGCGGATAACGGATCTTTTACTGGCCCACTCCATCAGCTGGTTCACTTTTTCTGATAACACCATCTGAAAGCAAAGGCAGGGAAACACTGTTGGGAGGGGTTACAGTCTCATAGTACAACCTTGAAGGTTTTTAGATTGACATAACAAACATCTGCGTTGGATTTCATCAGAACACCAACCCCAGGATGTGATGCTTCATTCATTCCTGAAGGCATTTATAGACCTTTGTGGCAGTCACGCTAATATAGAATCATAGAATAGTTAGGGTTGGAAAGGACCTTAAGATCATCCACTTCCAACCCCCCTGCCATGGGCAGGGACACCTCACAGTAAACCATGCCACCGAAGGCTCTGTCCAACCTGGCCTTGAACACTACCAGGGATGGAGCATTCACAACCTCCCTGGGCAACCCATTCCAGTGCCTCACCACCCTCACAGTAACGAACATTGTTCTTTCAGAGGTACAAACTGCCCAGATCACTCCACAGTATTGATTTGGTACCGAGCATCATGCTCTGATTAAGCTTTCAAAACCCGGAGGCAACAGGATCACTGTTATCATATAACAAACATATGCAGGGGAGACGGAAGCACTCTGGGAGCAAGCTCAACATTTAATTTCCAGCACTGCTGGAAAAACCTGGCTTCAGTACACATTTGAACTCAGCAGTGCTTAACATTAAGCTCGTCTTTAACAATGAGCCAACCACTCCTATAACATTATACAAAGAAGCATTAGGTGACAATCCTCTAATTATTATACCTATCATGAACTACTTCCCTAGTTCTTAATAACACCCTTCTTCAGGTAAATACTGCAGGGTAAATACTAAACTACTCGTCTTTGCCTCACAACCGACACAAGTACATACAGGGAGCCCGTTTCCAACCCTTGGAGTCAGGTGTGTGGCAACAAGGAGCACCTTTGTGATTACAATCACGGACCGCCGCCACCACCGCGGGTGACAGTCCACCGGCTGCCTCCACGCGGCAGGAAGGAGGCGCTCCTCCAGTGCCTTTTACAAGGCCAGGTCTGCAGCTAACGGCACTCGACAACAAACAGCGCCTTAGAACCGTACGGGTCTACGAGCCACCGGTCCCGCACAGCCTCCACCCGCGGGTTCCCCTCAGCGTCTGCCCGGAGCCGCCGCGCCCCAGGCAGGGCTCAGGGCCTGCCCTGCTATCAGTGTCCCCGGTGTTCGGGGCAGGCCGGAGCCCGCCGCGGAACAACGCGTCCCGGTGCGAGCAGCGGCCGCGGCCCGGCGGTACCTCACCTCCTTCCGCTTCTGCCCGGCCGCTTGCGGCCCGCCCCAGCACAGCAGCAGCACCAGCGCCAACACCGACAGCGCCGCCATGACCGCCCCGCTTTACCACTTCGCGCCCATTGGCGAGCACCGGCAGCGCGGCCCCGCCCCTACAGTTCCTATTGGCGGAGGTGCCGGCCTGCTTCTCGCTACCGGTCTCCGATTTGTTGAGCCTGTGAGCAGCGCGGGTTGCCGCTAGCCCATAGGAGGGAGGCAAGCTGGAGCCACTTGATTGGTGGAGCGAGGAAGGAGGGCGGCACCTCCGGGAGATGACGGCGGCGGCCAGTGAGGAGCTCACCTCAGTGCCCGCCTGCAGGCTGCGCCTCGCGGTAGAGGTACACCGGGCTTCCCGCACCACCTGCGGCTATGAAACGTGCTCGGGCTGCCAGGGGTACCCCGGGAAGCGAGGGGGGCTGCAGCGCTGCGGGGAAGCTCAGTAGCTCCCCAGAGGTGTACGTTTGTTTAATATCACACTCGTATGTTGTTGGGCCGTGCGTTAACATGACTGTTAAAACGCGCTTGGGAAATTAAGCCGGTTTTATGGGCTTTACATCGCCACAGAAAAACGCGGTCGTAGAATCATGGAATCAACTAGGTTGGAAATCGCCTTTAAGAACATCGAGACCATACTTACGTTTCTCTATTCGGGCGCACTGTGGAAATAGTTTCTGGAGCCGCGCGCCTCGCTGCAGGTTCTTTTTGTGCTAAAATGTCCGATTTCGGTAATTCGTCATTTTTATGAGCTTAAATTCATAGAAGGGAGTAAAGAAAACAAGAGAAAAAAGTGGTGTCAGAAGTGGGATTCGAACCCACGCCTCCATACGGAGACCAGAATACCCCAGCCCGCCATGGGAAGGCTCAACGCCTTGAGTCTGGCGCCTTAGACCACTCGGCCATCCTGACACTGCGATTGCAAGGCGCTACCGGGAGGCTCTTAGTGCTTTCCTCATGGCCGCCGCTCGCCTCCCTAGCCTATGGGGGGAAGCGCTTCCGAGCCTGTAAACCGGAGAGAAGGCGACAGCCCCCTTCCCCTCGCTGCTGCCGAGCTCCCTCCGCTTCGCTCCTCAGCCGTCGCGGGGAGGCGCCTTCCCCACCGGCACTGCGCGGCCCCGTTACCCACAGGGCTCCGCTTGCGGCGCGACCCAGCGGCCACTTCCGGCGCGACCATTTTGTTTTTCACCGCTCGCCAAGGGTACCGGCGCCCCGCTCTTCACCATGTTCCCTGTGGCTCGGGCTGCCCTCAGCCTCACCGGTAAGGCAGGAGGAGGACTGACGCCCTGGGGGTGTTTAGCGGGAGGTTTCGTCGGGGGGGGTCTTCCCCGGGGTGAGGATTGTCCCTCGATTGTGATGGTCGTGAGAGCGGTTCTCGCCGTCCGTGCCGGCTGCTGATTGTTTGCTTGCTTTCTGCCTCTTTTTATCCCCTCATTGCTTTCACTTGAGCTGACCTTGGGTTGCCTTCCTCGGCGCTTTTCCTCTTTCATAGTTACTAAAGGCACAGCGAGGGCTGGTAGCCTCAGGTGACAAGGTGTAGTCAGTGACTGGCCCTTAGACTCAAGGGTGAAGTCACCTCTTCAGGGACAGATTCCCCAATGCTTAACCCAAATCTGGTTCTGGTTCATGATGTGCTTAGTTTGCCCCTAAAATAAACCTCCTCAGCAGTGTTTCTCTTATTAGGTAATTAAACTTCTTTTTTTTCCCTTTAAAAATCCTACCTTGTTCAGCCTCACAGAGCATGGTGGGTATTGCCATGGCAGGGGGGTTGGAACTTGATGATCTTAAGGTCCTTTCCAACCCTAACTATTCTATGATTCTGTCTTACCTAGTCATGTTGGGTAACTGTGAAGCATTGACCCGAAATTGAAGACTGTGTTTTGTAATGTCTCTTTATGCACAGATCACTGTCTCGGCAAATGCAGCACAAAACTGCTAAACAGTCTTTGTGTGTTGAAGCTGGTGGTTTGATTCTTGTTTTCTCTGTGATAAATGTACCTTTTATAATGTATGTCATACCCTGTCTGATCTGCAGTTATCCTCCTCTATTTTGTTCTATATTACTGAGCCGTATTACTTATATATTAACTGCAATGTATAGATATTAACTGTATTACTGAACTTATTAATTAAGTTCCACCATTATTGCTGCTTCTTTCTTCGTCTCCCTCATCTCCCTTCAAAAATCATGGAGGAATGAGAAAGGGCCATATATCCACAACCCTTAACTCCTTACTTTGATGGTGAGCTTCATCCTGGAGATGCGTACATTAGGTACACATGCTGACAATACAGATAGGTACAGAAATCTGAAGCTTTTAAGTGCTTAGCAAACAAAAAAATATGTATTAATTCTTAAAAGTGTACTTCAACATCCACCCTAAGGGCCCAAAGAAAGCATGTTAATGGAAAAAGTGACTTAGAGGATTCAGAAATAACTTCCCAGAAAGAAACTGGGACAGATGAAACACAATGCAAGGCTTTCTGTATATCCCATGGTTTGGAATCATTCCAAAGCTCCAAGTCCAAAAGATTCATTTGTTTTTCAGCTTTTCTTAAAGTCTTTGGTTGCTTCCGCTTGCCTCTGGTGGTGGGAGGTAAGGAATGTGAATGGCTTGGGTGTATATTTTAGTTGATTCCTGTATTTCTCTCCAACATTCATTAGCTCGAGGCATTCGGCAGACTGCAGTCAGACAAGCTCATCGCAAACATGAGCCTGACTTCCACGACAAACACGGAAACCTGGTGCTCATTGGTGGAGCCGTTGTTTTTACTGCTGTCTGGGGATACGTAAGTGCCCTTTTTTCACCACTCTGTTGTGGTTGCACCTGTAAACTTGGAAGCGATTTGAGTTTCAGAAGGGCTTACTTGTTTGAAATAACTTACATGGTCAGAATTTAGGGGGGGTTTATGTAAGTGAATAGTTAATATTTTAACGTGATAGAGGTGAAAGTTGTGTTAGTTCCTGTTTTGATTTTGAGATGTTTCATGAACGTCTGTGTCAGTCTATTGCTTGATTTTAAACCATAGTAGAAACACAAGTGTTCTCCATTTAACTTGGGATTTCTAAGCTACACAGGTAGAGCTTTTGTCAGAAAAAATCCTAGATGAAAATAATCGTATAGTGATGGGGGTTTACATCCCAGATTTTATTTTAAAGCTAGATGTTTTTAATAGAAACCTGAATTATTTAAGTATTACTCAATATAAATATATTCCACTTGCTTTATTAGAAGATGTCATGTTCTAATACGAGAAATCTATGCTGAAAACAATAGAAACAGCCCTCTATCAGAAGGTTTCTTTGATTTCAAAGTTAATAATCCTGGTTTTTACCCTCCTGCAGGTGCTTACACAGCTTGACATTGAGTGGGGCTTCTCACCTGTGGGCAGAGTCACTCCAAAAGAATGGAGGCAGTAATGAACTCTCTGCATGTAATGAGCTGCTCTAAACTTCCACTGAAGAAACAATCACATAATGGTATTTGTTCTCTGATTACCACTTGTGCAGGGGCATTCCTGGTTTAATAAACATACCTAGAAACCTGCCTGGCTCTTGAGTTTCTGCTGTGCTCTGTGTGTGCTGGAACATAATAGTGTAAAAACTCAATATAGTTAAATCATGGTTTACATAGCTCCAGTTGTTCCTGTGGAGGTCACTGGTGGATAACGGACAAGAAAACATCATATGGTTGTCCACTTCACCTGGCCTCAGGCGTGTTCCCAGTGCCGAGTTCACATCACTTCACCTCTCCTTTCAGCTGCACAGTGAATGATAAAGCCAAGATCCCATATGTTTTCCACAGAAATATTTTTATGTCCTGAATCACCCTTCAGATAAGTTGCTTTTGAGGCCTTTGAGGGGTGTGAAGAACTTGATTTGGAGTCACATAAGCCATCAGCGTGCCTGCACTTAGAGAAGTGATGTTTCTGTCAGCGTACGTTGCTTTTCCAATGGATCTTTGTGTCCCCCGAGTTGGTGAGGAAGCGGCTCAGTGCTGTGTGCGGGCTGTGACCCGCAGGGTCAGCCCGAGCCTCGGAGGAGCCGTGTTTGACCCAGCGGGCATGCACGAAGTGGCTGCCCGAGGCTCCCATCACCGGTCGCTGCCCAGGCCCCGTAGCTTCCCTCCGCTGTCATGTGTCCCGCTCTCCTGTCACGTGAGCGGGCGGGCAGGCGGGGCCAGGCGCGCCGTGGATCACGTGACGGCCGGCCCGGGCGGGACTAGGTGCCAGGCGCGACCCCAGCGCAGCGAGGGGCGTCCGGAGCTGTGGTGAGTGCGGAGTGGGGCCTGCGGCGGGCGCAGCTCTCTGGGGCCGCGCTGCGTGTTCCCTCAGCGGGGGTAGGGCAGGACTGAACGGGCCTTCCCTTAGCGAGCGCCGCGGCCAAGCCCGGCCGCAGCACCTTGGGCTGCTCCCGGGGTCTGCCGCTCGGAGGGGTGAGGGTACAGCCCCCCCCCCCCCGGCTCTGAGGCTGCGCGGCTCTTCCCGGAGGTGACTTGGCGTGTCGGGAGGGCTGCGGGTCCGGAGCACGGCTGTGAACCCGCAGCGGCGTTTCCTTCTCAGCTGCTCCTGCCGCCTGCGTGGTGTTTTCTGCGGTGCTGGACACGCAGGGATGCCAGGGAGTCGCCTCGGCACTCCCGCGGTTCCTTTGGGATGCAGCCAGTGCCGGCAGGCTGGGTAGTATCGAACGGGAGTCAAAAGGAAGCGTAATAGGCTGGTTTTATTAGCGGGCATCCACATGCCAGGTCTCGTTGATTCTTGATATAGGTAAGTGTGCACGGGCTTGGAAACGCACCTCTTCTACCGTCGGAGGTCTTCAGAGAAAGACCTGGAATGGATTGGAATGCACAAGTTACAGAGCCTCTTAAAAACACAGTGCGGCTGTTCTGGAGAAGGGCAAGAGTTGTTTATGATGCTTTGGGGTAAAATCTCATGAAAGCGAGCAAGAGCAAACCCACCTTAACTACTGCCTGTCTGTCCCGATTGTATTGTGTGTATTACAGTGCACCGTGTGAGCACAAACACCATTTGATTAGAAATCGGTGATTAGAGTGTATTTTATTGTAGATGGAAGATCTGAGGCTTTTTCCTTTCCCAGTTGGTTAGCCAGGAAAGTAAAAGCCAGTGTTACATGTCATTTACTGCTGTTTTCACTTGTATAATACATCCTGCATTGTTCTGTCTTGTGTTATGAGACTCAGCTTAACAGTGAGATGCCCCCGTTGCTGTCATATGCTCAGATAAGTAGGCTTTATAAATTATACTCTCTCCTTAATACTTGGCTGTGATTCTTCCAGGGGAGTGTTTATGTCTTCCTAAAATCTGACTTGAAAAGGTGGTGGAAGGACATGACAGGAACTCTTAACAAAGCCTTTAACTTGTTCAGGTATTACAAAACTCGATAGAAGTGCAGCAGAGTGTTTCCAGTGTGCGCTTTTCATCCAGCTTGTATAGGAATAAGGTCCCCCAAAGTAATTTCTATGGTGTGCTGACTGAGCAAGGCTTGTTAAAGTCTTGAGCAACAGGAATTGCAGTCTCTTCAGAGTATCACAAGGCTGTCTGCACATTATTAGAGATGCACAGTTTCTTCCTCAATGATTAAGCCTCACACTGCTAATCATACTTTCAAATCTATCTGCTAATGAGCAGAGTAAAACCATGGACCTGCAACCCATTCTCCAGCACAAGGATGGGATGATGCGGTTTTCCTTTCACAGTGTCCTTTGTTCCTTTTCTTAAGTCTCTACAGACTTTTAGGGAAAGGTGCAGTTTTCCAGCTAATGTAATTCTTTAGAGCAGCAGGAAGGTAAGTTACTAAAGTGAGCTATAAAGGAGGACGTGGCCATTTAGAAATTTAATAAACTCTAAAGGTTGTAGTTAAATCAGACAGATTCTGTTTCTGGCATTTGTGGGGTTAGCCTGGCTTTGACCTCTTTCAGTAGCTATAAATCCAAGCTATTCACATGTAGAAAACTGGTGAAAACTGAAGGTGTGCACGTAGCCAGAAACACTGAGCTTCCCAGTTATACAGTCATAGAATGGTTTGGGTTGGAAGGGACCTTCAAAGCTCATCTCGTCCAACCCCTGCAATGAGCAGGGATATCTTCAGGTAGATCAGGTTGCTCAGAACCACATCCAGCCTGGCCTGGAATGTCTCCAGGGATGGAGCATCCACCACCTCTCTGAGCAGCCTGTGCCAGTGTTTTACCACCCTCCTTGTAAAGCACTTCTTACATGTCCTTATTGTTCCTAGAACAGGCATGGAGCATGTTTGTGATGCCTTGGTTAGCTTGGATCCTAGAAGCATTGAAGTGGTGTTTTGTGGAGTAAAGAGAGTCTGGGGTTTTACCAGTGTTATAACTTCCTCTTTGCATTGCTCGTATTTCCTTTCTTCCTTTTTTTGTTGTGATAGCGAGAGGTTGTGAATGACAGCTTTGTCTTCATCAAGCCTTGTCTTGCTTCAGATATTTTACTCAAAGACTCCTGTTAGAACATAAGTTGCTTAAAGGGATGAATTTGAGTTTCTTGGTTGCCTTATGCTTGGTCACTGTTGAGTTTTCCTTTGCATAGGAAGAAACTGCAGTTGGCAGTAGAAATTGTTTCACTTTCTGTTGCATCATTCACTTAATAGAAACACTAGTTGACTTTCTTCAAGGAAATTAGATCTTTGGATTTTAAGTTGCACACAAGCAGCCCAAGCCTGTGTTAAGCCTAGAATTGGACCTGGAAGAAACAATACAAAAACTTTACGTCTATTCCCAAATATTGGTTTTGGTTTAATTATTCTTTATAGCCTCTTTCTCTGTTGCTGAGTGTTGATTCTCTGCACGTAGCCTGCGATGCTCAGTTCTGCAGAGCCAGATTATTGCTAGGGCTCTGCTGCTTGATGGTATTAATGTACAAACAGGGAAGCGCTGCTGGCTTGTGTACTGCAAAACAAGGTGAAAGTAATGAAAGGGAGTGAATTGTGTATGAGAGGATACAGAAAGCTTATACAAAGCTTGTTCAAAGTCAGAAGTGCTTTGTAAAATGAAGCCATTGTAGACAATATTCCAAAACAGCAGTAGTTGAATTGAAGCCTTCTGCTTTCTTGTATTCTAAATAGACAACTGGTAGATTAAGGGGGGGAGGGAGGCTGCCACCTGTTTGCATCATCACATCCTAAAATTCTTTACTAGTTGAGGATGAAGGTGGTTTATACATGGAGCAATGCATTGGTTAAGAATAAAACCATTGTTCTTCCCTAAAACAGCGTGTGACCCATAACTTACTTAGCGTCTTACTTTAAAGGATATGTCCATAACTTTGAATTACAAGTTATTTATTAGCAGTCATTTGCCTTCACAGTCAGTGGTAATAAAGATCTTCAGTGTCAACTTACAAAATACATGTTGTCACTTAGAAAAATCTTCTGATATTACAGAAGTTCTGGATTTTGTTGATTGTTTCAGCTGCATCCTTCCAGAGCCATTACTGCACCTTCTACAGTGAGGTTCCCTTTGTGTCAATGCATATATATGCATTAGAATCTATGTATTGTTTTAATGGGTGGAGAAAGCAAACAGAGATACATAGTGATTGATGGCAAGAGTGAGGAAATGAGGTGTTCCAAGTTCAAGCCATTACTGTGGTATACGCAGGTTGTTACACAGCCTCATGCAGATCCTCTGCATCCATTTTCATGTGAACTTGGTGAAATATTAACACATATAAGGAGAACTAGGATGATATTGTCAATATGCGTACACCTCTTGCGTGCATTTAGTCATAACTTATTGGTGTAACAAACACTTTTCAGGCTGCTTAGTCATGAGTTTTACTTACTTTAATGTTGTCGGGAGGAGGAAATTATGATAAAAAGAGTTCTTTTAAGCTTTAGCCAAAGTATTTCTACCAGGAAGCACTGTGAGGGAGGCAGAGCATTAGGAATGAAATGGAATATAACAAAGTAGAACACTGTCTCAGATGTAACCATGTATTAGCTTTTAAATGTAACTCCTTGTCCTGGGAATTCTGTAAGGGGAGGGAAAAGGATATACATAGACTTAGAGGCACTGTGTATTAACCCTGTATGTTATTCTGAGGATAACAGCTCTCTAAAGCATCAGGAGCACTGGAATTCCAGACAACTTGGTCTTCAGAAATCTCAGGCTGTACAGAAAACAGCCTGGTAACTGGTGTGAAGAGGCAGCATTGCTCACAGGCGGCTCCTTTCCTACCTTTAGTTTTGAACAAATCTCAGTTTTTAGACAAATCTGGTTTTAAAAATGCTATGAAATCTGTTAGCAATTTACAACAGAGCAAGCAAAATTCAGTGTTTGTTGTTTTCTCCACCAACATTGCTGCTAAGGAGGCATGTATGATATTGAGCCTGTTGTGTTCCTTAACTAAAAGCCAGAGAACAAAAAGAAGAGACAGTGCAATCCAACAGATAAATTCCACCATGGAAATTCTGGGTTCAGTCCTAGTGCTCTGGGGCCTTGAGGGGAAAAAAGTGAATTCTTCTCCTGTGCCTTTATGCTTTTTGCATGTTTGAATTAGAGTCTCTTCTAAGGGAAGATTTTCTCTCCAGTGCTTACCCAGTGTCTAATGCCAGGGGGCCTGATCAGTTGGTCCCAGGAGAGCAGTCAGAAAACCTCAGGAACCCAACAAAAACTGAGTGAATGATTGCAGCTTGTTTGGCTTTGATTTATTAATTAAATCCAAACACAAACAGCAGATTGTGTGTTTTATATAAAGGAAAGGTTGTGTCTGTACAAAGCACATGCTTGAAACATAAATGGGATGTTGTACTGATGTAATAGCATTCTAACATGAGTGGTCCTGAATTACTGCAATCACAGTATTTTTGTGTGCTTCTGTAAATAGCATCCATCATATTTGAAGTAATTTTACAAACTTTATTTAGTTAATTAGGGCATTAAGGTAGAATAGCTCTGTTTGTCTTTCCACATGGTGCCTTCTATGTAGGAAAATATGAGGTTGTGCAAAAAAGGGTGGGAGGGATTGTATGTGAAATGAACAGCACAAGGGCAAGGAGACAGGCTTAGAAAATGGAGGAAATAGTTTGTCCATAACAAACTATAGCAATAGATGTTAAAAGAAAACCAAGTATAAATATGTTCTTTTTACATATATAACCAGTTAAATCTTTTATGTATTGGGGGGCATTCAGCAGCAGTGCTGGTGGCGGCTGTAATCATTTCAATAGCACCAGTTCACCATCTTACATGTGTGGCTGCTGTTAAATTGATATATGACTTTAAGAAGAGACTTCAGTGCTATTTCCCAGAACAACAGATATTATTGTGCTGTAGCTTGAGTCTCGTACACCAAAGAGCAGGGAAGATAGCCTGGAGCTCAACAGACTCTGGCTAATATACAGCTGTAGCCAACTCTCATCCAAGGCAACACCTTATCAACCTTTGATTATTTGTAGATAGCAGCTCACAGCCTCACTTTGTCCTTACTTTATATTTATTGTCAAAACACAGTAATAGTGTAGCTGTCAGGGCAGTTCCAAGTTGGTCATGTACCTGAAGTGCATTTCAATTCCCTTTTATTCAGACCTTACTAGAGGACAGATTGACTCTGTCTGTGATAGACTCTTGTGTCTCATTTTAGTTTGCTGTACGTGCATGTCTGTGCTCATGAAGCACACTGTATGTCAAGTGCTTTTTGAAACTTCAGTTGTACTTCAGCCTTGTGGGAATATTCCTTGCTCTGTGAGTGCAATTACAGTAATGTCTTTGTTTGCTCTGTATGGACTGAGCATTCCTTATGGAAGAACTGAGGTAAGCAGTAAGGAGCATATTTCTATATGTTGACATGAAAGTATGTCTTTTCTGGGTAGCTTTATAGTGGTTTTAAAACTACCTTGCACCTCTGAGTGTGCAGATGAGCCTGAGAAAGGACCCACCATATGAAGTGAGCTTAAAGTAATCCTCTTCTGCTGGTTCTGCTGGGATTTAAACTGTCCCACAGGTCAGTGGCTGACAGAAATCTGCTCTGTGATCCTGGCTCTTCACACACACTGCAATTAAAGGGAAAAAATACATATTTCATCTATTGAGGATTTTGCTGATTCAGGGGTTTATACTGTCTTGACTTGTTGGTGAGGCTGCAGTGTTGAGTTTTGTGCATCAGGGAGGTAAACCTGTTTCTGTGATGAAACATCCTTGTATTCTTACACGGTTTATAGCATGTCTCAAAGCGAAACCAGGAACATTCAGACCTTCTGTAATAGGGAACAGTTACGAAACATCACCAAGGGGCAAGAAAATGGATTTTGTTAAACACTGTTAATATTTCATGTAATTTACTTTTCCAAGATAAGTTCCCATGGTAAAAAACCACGTTCAGCATGTGCTTAACTTCATCCACTCAGTTAATCATCAAAGTTTGCTGTTGCTTCCACTGTAGCCAGACATTAAGCACCTGTTAAATTCCTTTTTGGTTTTGGCTTCAATCTTTGTGAAACAATTTAAGAACAAATATTTTAACTGTTTTTGGTCAACAGCAATGCAAAGACTTGAGTAGAGTTTCACAATGGAGGTGAAATCCGTCGTCCTTGGCGTGGAGGGGATGACATGCAATTCCTGTGTTCAGACCATTGAACAGCACGTTGGGAGGTTGAATGGCATCCATAGCATCAAAGTAAGTGACACTATCACTGTTTCTTACAAAGCTTTGATCTTACATGAGAAACCATGGCAAGGTATGCACTAAGGGAAGAAAATATGTGGCAAGATGAGAAGCCGATGGTAGGAGTGCATTAGTGTGTTTCTGGTATAAGAGAAAAAGCAAGTGCTCACTTCACTACAGTGGGAGCTAAGTCATTATCTGCTACTCTTAGGTAATTTTCTGCTTCACAATGAATTCAGGATCGTGAAGTTATGAGAAGTCAAAAAAGGCAAGAATTACAATTTAAAAAGGACAAACCAAAAACCCTAGAGCTTAGACTGGAGAAAAACAAGCTGTCCTTATTCCTTACACTGAATAAATGTCTGCTTGCTCACAAGCCTCCGAGTCTTTTCTTTCAAACTGGTAGTGCACAGAGGTCACTTGCACAGGTTGAAAAGCATCTGTGGGCTTGAGGTGTCCAGTTCATCATGTGGTAGTTGATTTACCATGGAAAATAAAGTTGCTTTTGTGGTGGTTCATGAAATAAGAGTAGCAGGTAGTGCAGGTGACAAAGGAGTCTAGCCAGCTCTTCAAAGCAGTAGAAGTTTCCTTTCCTTTGTACTGTTTGTGAAGAAACGGGAGAGAAAGAGCAGCAGAACTGTAGTCCTGAACTGTTACCAGAGCTACTTGGTTTGCCCTTTATCCAGACTTCCTTGATCTGATTTGATACCAATATTTTGTTGGTATTTTTTCTATCATGGGCAAAATGCTGGATTGTAGAATATTCCAGGGTGAGCTGATCATTCCTACACAATCCATCGGTTCATGGCAGTTTTAAAAAGGGAAACCATTTGAAAGTTGGGAGCTTCCTCTTAGTCATATGACCTAACTTGTGTTAGGAAGAACAGTCCTAACAGCAGCAGCAACAGAAAATGGCAGACCTTAATTCCAGTATTTACAAGACACATCATTTTTCATCTCCCATCAGTATGGAGCTTTAACATGACAGGAGGCTCTGCTCTGACACCAGAACCTTGGATCACTGAACAGACCATTTTAGAACTAGGGATACCACTGTTAACACTTTTGGCATCATATGGTCAGATAAATCACCAAGTGTCCACAAGCATGAAGTCAAATGAAGGCTAAACACATCTGTAACATAATAAGCCCTAAATAATCTGACTTCAGAATCCTCCCTTTCTCCCTTATTCCAGCAAAAGACATAATATTTTATCAACCTTGCACTCTTAATTGTGCTGAGAATGTGCAGATGACTTGAGATAGGAGAAGAAGGAGAGTCCTGCTTTAACTTGCTTGAAGACATTGTACATTCCATAGTGTCCTTTACATAAGGAATGAAGCAGGCTTTTAAAAGAGAGTATTAAGAATTTTGTATTCTTAATACAAAATACCTTACCCAAAGGTAAAGACTATTTCTAATCCCACTCTTGGCAAGAAAGTGTATTCCAGAAACTTAGTCTGAGTAGAACAGGACCCTAAGAAACAGGACGGTAAGAGATCATGCGGAGTCATTGTGCAGCAGAACTTCAATTGAGCCAGATCATTTGTTTCAGAAAAATCTCTGAGAATATTAAACCAGGGTTTTGTTCAGTGATTATGAATTAGGTCAGCACAGGAGATGAATGTTAGGTGGCTGATACAGACAAACAGAGCTGCATTTAGGCTATTTTGCCTCCAGCTGCAATGAAACCAATAAATGTCCATGTTGCTAATTCTGCTAAGGCAAGTAATTGGGACAAAAATGAAGGAAGGTTGTTTTTACAATGGTTTAACTCATCTAATCTAATCATGACTGTGCTCTTTAAGTTGTATCTTTGCCCAGAGGAAAGGTAGAATTGAATGATAATGTGTTTGGCCTCTGGCAGCCATTGGTTTTCCCTTTTAGAAATAGCAATAATTGTGTTTGATATATCGTCAATTGGGAGCAAATTAAATTGAGGGTATTTGTACCGTCTGATGTGAAAGGTTAGCCACCAAATCAGGAGGTCTCTGGATCAGCAAAATGTACAGAGGGAGGAAAATCAGCTTCCTTAATGCTTGTCATCTATCGGACATCAAAACTGAAGTTTGTTCTGTGCTGTCTGATGCTCTTTATTGCTCAGAGCAAGGTGACAGCCTGTGTCTGAGATGCCTGGAAACTCTGCACTCCTTTCACTGCTACTTACATCTGTGCTTTTTGTCAAAGAGTGGTTTTTTCCATCCTCATAGTCTGAGGGTAATTCCTACTAACTGCAGAACTGTGCATGTGATTATAGAGTTTTTTCTGTTGGGCCCTTTTGCTTTGGGGATTGAATTGGGTTAGTCATCATGGTTCAGGAGAGTTTGGCTCTGGAAGTTTCATTAAATGTGTTGATGCTGTCTGGGTGTTGTAAGTAAAAGTGGCCAGACAGACTTGTAAAGGATGCTGAAACTGGGGTGCAGAAGTCTGTTCTTTCTAGCTGTGGTGTTGGATGAGTAGAGGTTACTTTATGGTGGCTGTTGGTGTGGCTTTACACCTCAAGGTGAGTACTGTTGGATAAAATTACACTGAACAAGTATGGCTGATATATGCAAGTAGAAGTTATTTCTAGTCTCATGTAGGGTATTAAGTTTTCATCCCTCAGTATTGCAGTTTGCTAACTTAGTTTGGGGTTTTTTCTCTCACCAGGTATCTCTAGAGGATAAGAATGCAGTCATCATTTATGACTCCAAACTGCAGACTCCAGCGACACTGCAGGAAGCAATATATGACATGGGATTTGATGCTACATTAGCTGATTCAAATCCACAACCTCTTTTACTTGACACTATTTTTCTTACAATTCCTAGTCAGTCATCTGTAACATCTAAACAGATTTGTAGCGTGCTGCTAAAGAGCAAAGGTGTTGTGGATGTTAAAATGTCCTCTGATCAAAAAACTGCAGTGGTGACGTTCGTTCCTTCCGTTGTAAATGGCAAACAGGTTATGCAAATGGTCCCAGGGGTGGATTTAAGTATCTCTGCACCAGAGGTTACGCCTGGGACTTGTGAAAGTTCCAGCTGGTCTCAAGCAAGTAGCCTTGTGCTGCGCCTGAAAGTAGATGGGATGACCTGTCACTCCTGCACCAGCACCATCGAGGGGAAGATTGGCAAATTGCAGGGAATTCAGCGGATTAAAGGTAAACCCTTTGTGTAATTTTACATAAACTGGAGTTACCAACCTGTTCCCCAACAGCATTGTGGAGATACCTTAAGTTTAATTAGATAGCTTAGTGTGACAGTTACTCTTTCTGGTGTCTGGTATTTAGTTGCATGTTTAATTTGCACTAGGAAATAAGAAAGGGGCCCAAATTGTCCTAAGGCTGTTGCTGTTACACGTGTGTAAGTATTCAGTGATTGCTTTGGATTTTGGTGGGGAGCCTGGAGTAGTCGTGTTCTGTAATTTTATTACCAGTTATTGAAATCTCTAATACCAGATGTCTTTTTGTATTCTAATTAATCCTACTTTATATTTTCTGTTCAATTAAGAGTTAATATTGGCATGCATGCAATTGTATCTTAAAGGCAAGAGAAGAATATAAATAGCTTTGGCATAAATGGATTGCCACAGACCCTTGATAAAAGAATAAATTTAGTAAGAAATCATAGTGCCATTTTTGAAAATCCTGGGAAAGAGCAAAAAAGTGATGAAAAGAGGAGTGGAAAATTGTTGTTGTAGTTGAAAAAAAAGGTTGAAGAACTGATTCGTTTGATATTTACCAAACCAATTCAGTCTCCTTTCCATTGCAGTTAGGTTTCTGACCACTTAGAGCATTCAAAGCGTTTTACAAGATCTGTTGCTCTTGGGGCAATGTGCTGCTTGTGCTTAGGGCAGTAATTCACACTTATTAATTTTCAGTGTCCCTGGACAATCAGGAAGCTGTTGTTGTCTACCAGCCTCATCTGATTACAGCAGAAGAAATAAAGCATCAAATTGAAGCTGCTGGTTTCACAGCATCTTTCAAAAAGCAGCCTAAACCCCTCAAACTCAGTGCCATTGACTTGGAGAGGCTGAGGAATACTCAGACCAAAGGCTCTGAGACAGCACTGAAAGAAACCTCAAGTATGAATGACACAAAGACAGTTGTCCTCAGGATTGATGGCATGCACTGCAATTCATGTGTTCTCAATATCCAGAGCACCGTATCAGCACTCCCATCAGTAACAAGCATAGTTGTTTCATTAGAGAAGAAATCTGCTATCATAAACTATAACCCAAACTTAATTAGCATAGAAGTACTGAAAAGAGCCATAGAGGCAGTGTCTCCAGAGACATTCAGAGTCAGCCTTCCTGAGGAGTATGACAGAGTAGCACTTTACCCCACGCTGGTGTCTACACTGAAGTCTCCTCATCCAGCTTTGAAGGATGCCAGCCAGCCACTTACTCAAGTTGTTGTAATAAATATTGAGGGAATGACTTGCAACTCCTGTGTGCAGTCCATTGAGGGAGTCATATCCCAAAAGGCAGGTGTCAAATCTATTCGCGTGTCTCTCACAAACCATAATGGGACTATAGAATACGACCCTCTGCAAACATGCCCAGAAGACTTGAGATCTGCAGTAGAGGATATGGGATTTGATGCATCTTTATCAGGTAATGACATATTACACTTTTGCATTTAAAAGGATTGTGCAGTTTTGTTTAGAATTTGGTACCACCCAAGATGAAATTTAGTAGTTGGTACATTCTTTGTGCATGCCAAGAAAAGCTTTTTATCCTCACTGTCGATGAGATAATAAATACACATGCACTTCCTTTAGTATAGCAGATTAATTAAAAATGATTGAGATACCTGGAAATAGAGGCATGTACAAATACCATTCCTTGGTTTAAATTTACAGCAGCATATATCTGTGGCTGGGGCAGTGTCAGCTCATCCCTCAGTGCGGTGGCTGCTCACAGTGTCCTGAACTGCAATCTCCTTTTCAGCTCAGCCCTCTCCCGAAGTGCAGCTGGAATCCCACAGAACTGAGCCTCTCTCCCAAGTGTCACCAGCCCATCTTGTGAGACAAGAGACAAAGACTGTGTCGAAGTGCTATGTCCAGGTCACAGGAATGACATGTGCTTCATGTGTGGCCAACATTGAGAGAAATCTGAGGAGAGAAGATGGTAAGATACATGTCAGTGTAATCTGTTAAACTTCTGAGTTTTTCTTTTAGAGAATCCATCTAGCTTTGGTACAGCTTTTTTATACAGCTGGGTTGTCAAGAAAAGTGCCATTGCTGTTGTTTCATGGGTGAGAATATAGGATTATAACAGTGTGGTTGTTGCTGCTTTGTGGCTAGAGAAGAATGCCTTTGCAAAAGCAGGAGTTGGAGTGCTCCAGAAAGCATATAAGGATCAAATATGGATCCTTGTGAAACTAAACTAAGTATTTTCTACTGGAGGGACATGCCCAGGTTAAAGGCAGAAGCATTATGCCTGTGTTAGGAAGCGAGTTATTAGAGAAGGACAGTAGTAATACGGATTAAAGAGACAAAGTTAATTTTAGCTCTGCAAGTCAGAACAACTGTGTCTGTCTTCTCTCAGTGATGATTATATTTGTAGGGACAAAAAGTTGCATAACTGTAATGTAACAAAGAGTTGTTAATGCAGACTGTGTTTAATTATTGTAATGAAGATGGATGTGTTCCAAGATAACCTGGAATTGAACCTTTTTTTTTCATCCTAGAAAATGGATGAATCTAAATCCTTTTCAGTTGGTGTACAGTAGGATTGCACTTTGTTGGAGCTGCCCTTTCTCATATGTGTCTCTCTTTGAAAAGTCTTCTAGAAATGATAAATGCAGATCACAAGAATAGTCAGAACTGTATTTTAGAAGACTCTTAAGTAAAACCGAATACTCTTTTCATGTAGCATAGATTGAATGTCTGTAATTAGACTGTTAAAACAATGCAGCTCATGTGGAGCAATACTTCACCTGCCACACCTGCGCTTAAGTCCTTTTGTTGCATTGTTGCTGGATCTTCCAAAAATGCTGATGTTTTCCTTTCTCTATACTTCCACTGTGGTAGCTTTCTCAGTTTCAGTCAATTGCTGCTGTGCCATCCTGCTACTGGAAGTGTACTGGGTCTTTTAAACATGATCTGCCAATCACATGTTCTGTTTTCTAGGAATACATTCCATACTTGTTGCCCTAATGGCAGGGAAGGCAGAAGTGAGGTATAATCCTGCTGTCATACACCCTTCAGCAATTGCAGAGCTCATCCGGGAACTGGGATTTGGAGCTACTGTGATGGAAAACTATGGTGAAGGAGATGGAATTCTGGAACTTGTTGTAAGCTGATAGCTAAAACCAACCACCCCTGTCTTTATTACTTTTATCTATTGGATGTGCTTGTGTGAGCGTTCACTTCCTACAGCGTTCGTTGTATATTAGAGCTTAATTTACAACAAATAAAGTATAAGAGTACAACAGATATGTGTAACAAACTCATCCTGTCCTGCAAACTATGCTGGCTCAGTTCTGCTATGCTAAGTCAGAGAACTGTTCCTGTGGGATTTTTTCCTGGTTATTTCAGGAATTCCCTTTTTACTTTTCTGTAGCTGAGTTGAGCTTGGTGTAGCCCAAGCTCTGAACTTCAAGAGCTAGCAGAGCTTTAGCAGAGCTTCATAACCTTGTTTCCTCTATAGTGCTCTCGTCCTTAACCAAAGAGCTCCACCTCATTGCTTCAGACCCTAGAAACATGCAATAAAGAAAGGTCAGAAGCACTCTTTCTTTTCCTGCTTTTGAAGATGCTTTTACGGAGTAACCTGTGGCTTTGGTAACAGGAAGGAATCTTTATTTTCCAGGTGAGAGGAATGACGTGTGCTTCTTGTGTACACAAAATAGAATCCACCCTCATGAAGACTAACGGTGTTTTATATTGCTCAGTAGCTCTGGCAACCAACAAAGCACACATCAAATATGATCCTGAGATTATAGGTCCTCGAGATGTTATACAAGTGGTAAAGGTAAGTCTGGTGAAGGCACCAAATCTCGTACAATATCCAGTGTCTTTTGAAAAGTATTCCAGAAACAGGAAGAAAGACTATTAAAGGAAAAAACCTGTGTCTCTCCTTCCATCTGCTATCTTATTAGTGCAGGGCTCTGCAGATAATATGTATTCTAGCCCAGAAGCAATGCTCTGTTATGACTTTACCTAAGCTTTTGTACAGAAATACTAGGAAAGCCAGGCTATAGTAGAGTTGAAGATACCAGTTACGGGTTTGCAGAAAAATAAAGCTCATCCATGAGTACTGTAGCAGGAGAGATGAAATTGAGATAAATTTCACGGCTTTCTCCTTCAGTTTCTCTACAACTGTGCCTCAGGAAAAACCATTTTGAAACCCTAGATTTTAGAATAGCATTTTAGTGTTCTAGAAAGGCAGGTTTCTGCATCAGATTGCTTTTCTGTCTTTGCAACTGTCTTTGCAAGGTAAATAAAACCAGTAACAGTCATATTAGAGATAGTAATAATGTAAATGTAAGGCTGACACCATCAGTAATCTGACAATAACTTTGTGAGCACAAAGTCTTTAAAAACAGCCTGTTCTCTTTTTTTATTATTATGCTTTTTCCCTTTAGGATTTAGGCTTCACCACTTCCTTAGTCAAAAAAGATAGATCTGCTAGTCATCTAGATCACAAGCAGGAAATAAGGCAGTAAGTATTCCTGAACATAGATTCTTCTTTCTTTAATCAACAGCAAAACTTACGATATTTTTATGTGACTGTGCAGACTTGCTAAACTGTTACCCACTGAATTGCAAACCAATTCTATTTTTCTTTTCAATCTGAGGTGGAAAAGGTCTTTTGTTGTGAGTCTGGTTTTCTGCATCCCTGTCATGGGGCTGATGATCTACATGATGGTGATGGACAGTCAACTTTCAGATGCTCATGCTCATCACAACATGAGCAGTGAGGAAATGGAGGCTCTTCACTCCTCGATGATCCTGGAATACCAGCTCCTACCAGGATTGTCTGTTATGAATTTTCTGTCCTTTTTACTCTGTGTCCCAGTGCAGGTAAGTGGGAATATGACAACTCCTCCTTCACTGGGCTTAAAACTGACTGTAGTTGTGGTGGTTCTTTTGAGGTGGTTCTGCTGTGGCCAAAATAAGTGGTTCTAGGGACTGTTAGGGGCAGGCCAGGCAGCATAGATGTGGTATGCAGCATCTGAGGCAGCTTGCCCAGCTGCACTGGTGGGCACAGGGAGGAGCTGGTGGAATGGTGTGGAGATGAGAAGACTCAAGAGTACTATGGTAGAGGTCAGAGCCCTTGGCTAGAGCTTGGGTTTTTTTCAGGGAGAGATGGAGAAGGCAAATAACACAAATAAAATGGGTGTCTCCCTCTCTTATGGAAATGCTGCTGCTGTGTGTTACAAATGTGTGTGTGTGTGTGTGTATGTATATATATATATATATATATATATATACAAAAATAGATACATGTTTATAAATATATATAAATATATATATATAAAAATACAATTGATGCTCCTATTACAGATGTTTGGAGGCTGGCACTTCTATATCCAGGCCTACAAAGCAGTGAAGCACAAAACTGCAAACATGGACGTGCTCATTGTACTGGCAACCACCATTGCCTTCGTGTACTCACTTGTTGTTCTTCTAGTTGCAATGGCTGAGAAAGCAAAAGTGAACCCTGTAACTTTCTTTGACACACCTCCTATGCTGTTTGTGTTCATCTCCTTGGGCCGGTGGCTAGAGCATGTTGCAAAGGTAAGAAAAACAAAAGCCATGGTATCTACAAGCTGCAAGACACTAAGAGTCATTTCAGAATGTTGCATACCTTAAAACAAGTCCCATGAACAAGCTTTATTAGGTTCTTCTAACCTTCTTTGTTGTAAAATCATCTTCAGTAACTAGTAAAAATATGAAATGACTTAATATGAGTCTGTCTGAAGAAAGTCTTTTTAATAGGGTAAATTGCAACACATGCAGTTGTCATTTACCCAGCAGTTTCTTTCAATAGCATAGTCAGAAAACCATGAAAATTATTATTCTAGGGTAAAACATCAGAAGCACTGGCAAGACTAATTTCATTACAAGCTACTGAAGCTACTATTGTTACCTTGGGCCCCGATAACGTTCTTTTAAGGTATCTTGCTTTGTCATTTGCTTTTTCTGTTGTTCCTTTTTTGTTGTTAATCTGCCTAATTCACAGACAAATGTTACCTTTCTGTAGAATTATGAAGCAAATAACTTCAGATTTGGTGGCAGGTTTGCCATACATTAATGTTAAAATGCAGAAAAAATAACTCTGCTCTTCTCTGGTTTATTGAAATCTTGCTAAGTTTTGCTGTGATAAGAAAAAAAAGTGGGTTTCACAACTAGAGAGTAACTAAAATGATGATAAAATAATGATAGCACTCTTTAAAATGGCCTTCTGGCAATTTTTATATGAACTTAAAATGTCAACCAGTGGGGTTATGCTTTGTGTGTAGTGACAGCTGGTTTTGCCGGGTAACTTCAGTTACCATCTCTTACTAAAAACACTCTACATCATTCTAGTGAAGAGCAAGTTGATGTCGAACTGGTTCAACGAGGTGATATTGTCAAAGTGATCCCAGGAGGCAAATTCCCAGTGGATGGTCGTGTTATTGAAGGACACTCCATGGTAGATGAATCTCTTATCACAGGTAAGCATTTGCTTTTTTGCAAGTGTAAAAATGTTTTCCTTTAAACTGATCTAGAGAAGGGAAGTTGAAACTGATGTTCTCACTCCTCTAACTGCATGCTAGGAGTTGGTAGCTATGATAATATTCCTGAAAAACATATCTTGGTATCTTTTGTTGCCCTTTTTGTAGGTGAAGCGATGCCTGTGACTAAAAAACCTGGCAATACAGTTATTGCAGGTTCTATTAACCAGAATGGATCACTGCTGATTTCAGCAACCCATGTCGGAGCTGATACAACTCTGTCCCAGATTGTTAAACTGGTGGAGGAGGCTCAGACTTCAAAGGTAGAGTATTATCAACTGAAACATTTGGGTTTTGGCTTATCGCTTGGGCATCAGCATGGTGAATCACTTGAAGAGTGGTTAAGATGGTTTAGATCTGAATTGCAGTTGCATAATAAAGTATCTTGCTGAATAAGGACTTGGATACAATCTACAGCTGCAAGTCTCATCATCTTATTAAGCCAATACATAATTATACAGTGTGGTGTGCCAATTGTGCTGCAAACAGCAGCTCTGATTGTGTCTGTGTCTGAAGGCACAGAGTAAGCATAATGCTGCTGGAGCTGACATCTTTCTTCTTTCTAGGCTCCTATCCAGCAATTTGCAGACAAACTTAGTGGCTACTTTGTTCCTTGTATTGTGGCTGTCTCTGTGGTTACCCTTTTTGCCTGGATTATAATTGGTTTTGTGGATTTTGAAATAGTAGAAAAATATTTTCTGGTGAGTAAATGTCTTTAAACACCTTTTGAAATGTTTAATAAATAGTTAAGCTGCAAGTCTGTTAGACTGCAGGGGTTCCTTCTCTGAATTATCCTTGCAGGCAGTGGCTGGCTATAGTTATTATTGTTGTTACATTTTTTACACCTTCCCACTCCTACATTTATACTTAAAGAGGCTTTGCAGTTGTTGATCGACTTCTGAAAGCTAGTATTAGAAACAAGACTTTAATTTCAAATAGTAAATACTTAGCATCAACGTTTTCCATTTCCATCCCTTCTCTGTGGGAACAGAAGCTTCTTGTGCCACAAGCTCCAATTGTGCATCAAGTTTTGTCAGCATAGCTCTGTGTTAATTCCTCTTTGAAATCAATGGGATTCATCTTCATTACAGATGCCAGAGGAAGATCAGGATCATCCTAATGTGTACCTTAGGGTTGCTTAGATCACGGATTTCTTGGTTCGTCACTATTTCTGACTAGAAATCATTTATTTCCAAGAAAACAATCTTCATATCCTCTTTCTTTGTTGCTGCATGTATTTGTTAATAGAATATCTTTTATTACATTACAGCATAAAAGTTACAGCATGTGGTACCTTATTTAGGAAAAAGTCCTATAAATAAAACGGTTTATGGGTATATGAAGTGTAGAACAGAACTTAGTAGTTAATTACTCCTTTAGTCATTAATTTTAGCTTTTGCATAATTTGCCTGAGCTTTACTTTTTAATATTCGTACTTTAGTGTATATATTTGCAGGTATTTTAACATCAAAGGCAATGTGTAGCTGCATCCATTGTTCAATTTCTTCTACTACTAAAAATTCTGCCACCAGGGTTACAACAAGAGCATTTCTGCTGCCGAAGTGATAATCCGCTTTGCTTTCCAAGCCTCCATCACGGTCCTGTGCATTGCATGTCCCTGTTCTCTGGGATTAGCCACCCCCACGGCTGTGATGGTTGGTACTGGAGTAGGAGCCCAGAATGGAATACTGATCAAAGGAGGAGAGCCCCTGGAAATGGCACATAAGGTAAGAAATGTGGGTTACTGTTACAAGAACTCCAAGGGCTGGTGTTGGTGGCATGTTCCCGGTTGCTGCCAGAGCAGATCATCACATGTACACCAGCACGTGGTAATAAGTGATGTATCACCAGCATATGGCAGTGAGTTTAAAACAGGTGGTTTTCTGAGGAAGCTGTGCTCACTGAATGAAGTCTTCCTGTTTTGATGCAGGTGAAAGTGGTTGTTTTTGACAAGACTGGTACTATTACTCATGGCACTCCAGAAGTGACACAGGTGAAGTTTCTAGTGGAGGGCAACCAACTGCCACATAACAAAATGCTGGCCATAGTGGGGACTGCAGAGAGTAACAGTGAGCATCCTCTTGGAGCAGCAATTACAAAATACTGCAAGAAGGTAAGTTACTTGTACAGGAATAGAGTAGTTTGTGTTGGAGGAACCTCTTTTTTATGAAGTAAATGATATTCATTAGGGAAAGCTGAAAACTGTGGAACCATATAAACCACTTAATACCGTGTTAGAGGCACTGGATATTCAAACTTACATTTTGATGATTTAATATTTCTCTGCCCCTGTTAGTTTTAGTTTGCCTGCACTTATTTTGAGGGGGCTGTAAATGCAGAATGCTTTTTATCTTTTAAAACTGTCTCAACTTACATCCTTTTTCTTTAGGAACTGGACACAGAAACCCTTGGGACATGTACAGACTTTCAGGTAGTCCCAGGCTGTGGCATTAGTTGTAAAGTCACCAATATTGAACAATTACTCTACAGGAAAAATAAAATGGTTGAAGAAAACAATTTTAAAAACGTGACACTGGTGAAAATTGAGGAAAACATGGAGGAATCGGTGCAGCCTGCTTTGATTATTGACGCTGAGCTACCAGGTAAGCTAATGCTGGCTTATAGAATAAAGTGGATAATTCTTGCTCTTTACTTCAGGATCCTTAAGAATCAAGTCATTTTTTTTCTGCCCTGGAGAGCTGGGCTTGCATCAAGGCACACGTGAAATAGTTGGTCACTAGTGATTTTCATGGTCGCACATCACTTGGGACGTTTTGATTAAATACATTTTGAAGCTTCACGTTGAATATGGGGCTAGGAGATCACATTGCAGTTGTCTTTCAGCTCCTTTTGTTTTTACTTTGCTTCATCCTAAATTACCATTTGCTAGCCAAAATCATGTATATTTGCAGAATTGACTTTTTTTTCAATCCAGAACAGTTTATTTATGTCTTTCTTATCTGCTGGGCTGTTAAATATAAATTGGAAGCACTGAGAAAGGGACTTGGTCCTTTACTGTCCTTTGACCTGTGATTCTTGGTCCACTAACATGGTAAATTCCCATTACTGAAGAAATGTTAGTGTTTTTCTTGCCAAGGACACCTGAGAAGACTCGTGGGGCAGAAAGTATTGAGAAAAATGTACTCTGTGTTTAGATTATCTGTAATAATATTGCAGCGTGTACTGGGAGAACCTGGACAGGATTAGCTGGAGGGAAGCTTCACGGTTATCTATATGATGATAGGGTTGTATTTTCTTCCTTCAGCTACTAGGACTTCTCAGAAATACTCTGTTCTCATTGGGAACCGGGAATGGATGAGCAGAAACGGCCTTGTTGTTAAAAATGAGGTGGACAAAGCCATGATGGAACATGAGCGGAGAGGTCGCACAGCAGTTCTAGCAGCTGTTGATGGTAAGTTCAATGCTGGTTTTTTTATTCAGAGGTTGATTTGTCACCATTTGAACAGAAAGTAGTAAGCAGTAACATCATAGAAGTTACACCTGAAGCAGAATAATAGGATGTAAAGAAATCATTAGCTAGTTTTATAAAACCCTATGGAAGACTTCTTCCTGCCTCTTAGTTGACAGGAGAGGTTTCACATAGTCACAGAACCACAGCCTGGTTTGTGTTGGAAGGGACCTTAAAGCTCAAACAGTTCCAACCCCCTGCCGCACGCAGGGACACCTTCCACTAGAGCAGGTTGCTCCAAGCCCTGTCCAGCCTGGCCTTGAACACTGCTAGGGATGGGGCAGCCATATTCCGCCTTCTCCGAGCAACCTGTTCTAATGTCTTGCCCCTAGGAATCTTTTCCTAGTATCTAATAATATTGTTAATAATAATTACTATAACTTCTTAAATGTTAATGTTAACTAATACTTTAAAATGTCTGGGTTGTGTAATTATGTTAATATAATTAGATTAAAAAGATAATTAAGTATTAGTTAAATAATGATGTAAAGACTTCAAAGAGAAGGAGAAAAAAGAGGGATATTTTTGTTGTTGCTGGACAGTCCATGTTCTGTATTGCCTTAAACACTGCTGCCCTGCTACCTGTTCTTGTTCTGCTTTTTACTGTCACTATTACTGCTTTTGGAATTGGTCTTACGGGGGGAAAAGGGTGTTATTGTTTTAGGGTAAAAAAATCACGAACACATTCTGTTCTTTTAGGAGTACTTTGTGGCTTGATAGCTATTGCTGATACTGTGAAACCAGAAGCTGAGCTGGCAGTCTACACTCTGAAGAGTATGGGATTAGAAGTTGTCCTGATGACTGGTGACAACAGCAAAACAGCAAGATCTATTGCTTCTCAGGTAAGCTGTTCCACACATGCTTGGGTTTGCAGCTTGCTACAGACCACTCACAGAAAGCATGTTGTGTCATGGTGTCACTTATGATACAGGCTTACAACTGGCCTGTTGTGAAGAATGGTAGTGTAAACACATTCAGAGTAAGAGGGGAGGAGAACAAAAGAAGCCTTTTTGAATGGAAGCAGCATCAACTTGGGATTCAGAACTATTTTCATATTAGATGGGTTTGGTACTTAGCTCATGAGTGATAGCGTGGGTTTTGACCTTGCTGTTAAAGGTAGAAGCTTTGATAGCAAGTAGGAATGCTGCCAGATAGGTTTGTGTTTTCTCTCTCTTCAGGTTGGCATCACCAAAGTGTTCGCAGAGGTTCTTCCCTCCCACAAAGTAGCCAAAGTGAAACAGCTGCAAGACGAAGGAAAGCGGGTGGCCATGGTTGGAGATGGCATCAACGACTCCCCAGCTCTTGCTATGGCCAATGTGGGAATTGCTATTGGCACGGGTACTGATGTAGCCATTGAGGCAGCTGATGTGGTTCTGATTAGGGTAAGAAATGAGTGCTTCATTAAAATGAGATGAGAGGTGTTAGAAGGCCCAGGATATCTTCAATGGTTCAGACACGGCTGGCATGTACGACCTTCATAAGCCAGGAGAACTGGAGCAGAAATTGTCTTAGTCGTGGTTGTTTAGGGTAGTGATACTTATCCTGTGAAGGAAACTTTCCCATTTTCTGGGCACAGAATTTTGGGATAATTAAAGTTTGAGAGTGGGCAGAGGAGGAAAAAGTGACCTTTGACAAATATAAATTACATTTCAGTAACATACCACAGTACCTCCAAGGGCTATAGTCACTGCTTCCTGCATATCAACAACCAGCCCCTTGGCAGAAATAGTGGTCAGTGTCTGGAGCTGAACTGTGTGGTGCTGTGTGTATTACTGGATTACAGTGACATCTGGGATAAGGTTGGGGCTGATCCTATGGGCTCTATGTGGACAAACTAGAGCAGCATGAATACTTACTACATATAGTCTGTTACATCCAGTGTATGGTAGTTAGCTTGAGAGTATGATGTTATGATAATTACATGTATGCTCTTTTTTTATCTCTTTGACCTCTAATAAACATATTAACTTGTAGGATGACTTGATGGATGTGGTAGCAAGTATAGATCTATCAAGGAAAACTGTGAAAAGGATCCGGATCAACTTTGTCTTTGCTCTAATTTATAATCTCATTGGAGTTCCCATAGCTGCTGGTATGTGAATGCTTCCCTGCAGTAAAATAAGGTTGTGCTCAGTGAGATGGCCGTGATTTACTGTTGTGTGGAAGAGTATTTTCTCTATTTCTGACTGTCAATAAGTGTAGAGTTCTCTGCCTGGGGGTGTTGCAGGGGTATGCCTGTGCACTGTTCTCCCACGTTATGGCTATTTATTAACATATAGAACTAAAATTAGACAGTTTGTGTGAAATTGTATATGTTAATATATGAATAATGCTGTTCCTGCTCTGAACTTATTTTGTAGGTGTTTTCCTGCCCATTGGTTTGGTTTTGCAGCCCTGGATGGGATCTGCAGCCATGGCTGCCTCTTCTGTTTCTGTTGTACTTTCTTCTTTGCTGTTAAAGATGTGAGTATGAACATTTTGTGGTTTGCAGTTTGGATTCAAAGCTCAGGTCTTTGACTGAGAATGGCAGAAAATAAGTGTGGGACTGTGCCAGAACAGTTCATGCAGGTCTGTGTTCCGCAGCAAGAGGAGTCAGTTGGTCCAAAGTGCTTCAGACAGTAGTGTTTGAAAATGTCATTTCTCATGTGAAGAGAAATGCACAAGTCAAAAGTGTGTTCACAATGGAGAACTCCTTAGGGGCCTTTGTCAGGATGCTCTGGTTTCTGAAACAGTGCAGCTGTGAACACCACACTGACAGAGGATTGTTGTAGTAAGTAAACCGAGCTGCTGCACTTGTCATTGTGTTGCTGTTCCTTACTCTGCAGTTAGAAGTAGTGTAGCACTGTGGTATCTTGTATTATTTACTTAACACAAGTTCTCAGAAGGAGAGCAGAAGAGTTGGTAAGTGACAGCTGCAGCAGTCCACTCTCAGTAGATGTGTTTTCCAGTATGTTTTGCAGATGCTCGGCACCACTTAAGCAGTTAAATACTGAGTGATGTGCATCAGCTTTACCTGTTCTGTGTCCTGGCCAGAAAGCACAGAATTAGCCTCTGGTTGGATAGTAGCCTTAAAATCTGAAACTTTCATCACTGTATAATAGGTCAAATTATAAATGTCTCTGGCTAGTGCATGATCACAGCATGTAGAGTAGTTACTTTCCATATTTTGGTGTACTTTTCTTCAACCTGAACTAAATCTGGCATCTTCTGTTTTTTCCTTCCTCAGGTACCAGAAACCAAGTCCTGAGAAACTTGAGTTCCGGGCCCGTGGCCAAATGAGACACAAGAGCCCATCGGAAATCAGTGTCCACATTGGAATTGATGAGACTGGGACAGGCTCACCTAAACTGAGTTTAATGGATCGAATCATCAACTACAGTAGAGCCTCTATAAACTCTCTCTTTTCAGACAAGCGTTCAGTGAACAGTGTAGTTCTTAGCGAACCGGATAAGCATTCACTTTTGGTGGGAGATTTTGGAGAAGATGATGACACAGCATTGTGAAGGACTTGCCCCTTCCCTCCCACCCCTGCCAAGCTAAAAAGCCGTGAAGCAAAATGGAAAACCAGCCAAGAGAGCTGCCTGGATATCTGTGCATGTACTGATTGTTTCTGGAGGGCTCTTCAGACGTATTTCTTCTTGCAGAAAGCTGGGGTTTTTTCAGTGACTTTCCAGGATTGTTTCTTTGTTTGGTGGGGTTTGTTGGGTTTTGTTTTCTGTTTTTTAACAGTCAAGTTTAGTACTGTGTTAAAAAATTACAAATGACTGCATCTGCAAAATGCTGAAGGTTCTGTGTTTGCAGATGGATGTGCCTTACTTCAGAACTTCCAAGAAGCCTCTCATTCCCACAGCTTGCCTTCTACCAGGTATTGTTCCTCTCAAATGCCTTTTGTTTAGACATCTGATTCCAGCTTTTCACACTCCCAGCCTCAAATCATCTCACTGTTTGTGATCTGGATTCCTGCGAGGCAGAAATAACTTAAGAGTTTGGAGTTTGCTTTGACATCATATCAGTGTTTAACTCTACACCTCCATGCTCCAGTACACTCCTACTACTAAGACTGTCTGCTTGAAGGTTGAATGGGTTGGGAGGTTTGCTCATTCTCAACCTCTCCTAAGCCAAAAATTCCTGCAGTGTCTTAATGCAGTATGAATGTGATGTAATATAGCAGAAATGTTTAGCTTTTAAGACAGCAGCAATGTAGTTAGTGCTCACTACCAGTATCTACTAGCACTCCATAAGTGAACCAGAATAGACTGCTGTCACCACAGATTGCCTTTAAAATCTTTATAGTTCAGTCTTTGCAGATATGACACCATCAAAGAATTAATTATGTCAGATACTCCACTAACAGCAATTGCTTGTAAAGATACTGAGTGTATTTATACCAGGAATGGTCCAGAATCTACTCCATAGATCGATCTGAACCTCCTTTGCTTGGACTGTTTAGATCCAGGCTTTCTGAGTTAAGACAATCTTCATTACTGAAGTATCAGAATGCAGGGTTTGATCATTAAATTCTTAATAGTAAACATATTTTCAGTGAGGAAGAGGTGTTCATCACCCAGTTGCTACCTACCTGTTTATTACTTGATATACTTTGTTTAAATCTCTACTGATGTGGCTGTCTGCAGCAATTGCTAGGTTCGGTAATGGTGAATTGCATTACAAAATACAGTTCATGGTGTAAACATGCAATTCTAATTTTTACTTGTAGAGGAGAAATACTCAGTTTGGAGTACAATAAGGAGATCTCTGTAATGTTATAGTTTTTAACATGAAGTCTGATGTCAGCACATAGATTGTGTATGTAAGATTTCATAAGTAAATGGCTTTTGGATTTTATCTGAGAACAGAACAATAGCAATGCATGAAAACAGAGGAGTTGTGCTATGGAATGTGGTTTTAGTAAATCGGCGTGCTTGATATCTTGGAGTGAGGAGAACATCATCATTTGTTGCTGCTACTAGTTTAAGAAACAACATATTTCTCTTGCAGGTTTTAGGTTCTTAATATCTCTATGTGAATGTAGATTATATTTTCAATTGGATTATATTTATCTATGTCTATAAAGTAGTGTTAAGAAATGCTGAGACAGATTACTTGCAAAGTCATTCCATAAGATGATGTTCTCAGTTTTCAGCAGCAAAGTTGTTTCTTACAAAGCAGATAGTTACCTGGTCGTACGATGGTAGGTTTTATTCTTAGTGCTCTACAACTATGTTTCCAAAGATTTCTGTTTTCTTCTTTATCCACACTTGTTCTCAGTGGTGTTCTTGGCAAGGTTCTGCAGATGAAAGGGAAGTCTCTGTGTACTGTTGTCTGGATTGTGCTGATGGCTGGTCTTGATCATGCAGTGAAGACACCAGGTAGATCCAGGCACCCCATGCTTTCAAGAAGGGTGTTTCACTTCTGCAGGTGCTGGTTATGGTTTGTATAGCGTGTAAATGGCAGGCATCAAGTTCTTCCTGCAGGAAATAGAGTAGTAATTTAGAGTTAAATTCCTGGTTTGTAGGTAAAGCAGCATGAATAAATTGTTATTTCCAAATGTATTTTTAGAGCACTTTGGCTTCTGCCTTTTGTTGTCCAAATTGTAGGTAGGTTGAATGTTTAGTGGAATGCTGGTTTCATTGCCAACTTTTTCCCAATGCAGATGTTTTTCTAGGCTTTTCCATTTTCTCTGAAACCCGGCATTTGTCCATTTACAGCAAAATAAGGTTACTTTTAAAAGCAGGATACTTAATGAGGTGCAAAGAGATTATGGGGGAATAAGGAGCAGTAAAATGGTGGCTGAGAGGGAGTGGGATAGCAGCTTGTAAGTACAGTCAGAGGATCAAACTCAGGAGAGAGGAAATCACTAAGTAAAGACCAGTGGATAAATAAGGTGCTGGTGATCAATCTAGGCTTCAGTTGAGGTGAGGCTTTTTCACTGTAACAGCTGTTAGTCTCTGAGACAGCTTCTGTTAGAGGTGGTGTCAGTAGAAGGCAGAACACTGTTGCACTTCTGAAAGAGGCTTGTATTAAGGGATGCCAGGAAAAGCAGTGGTCAGGACTTTCCAACCCAGGAAATCCATCTCTATCCAGTTCTCCTCTTTAGGAAAATCTGTCTGGACTTGTCTTTTGAACTTGAATTTAGTACTCAGTGTTTAAGTAATGCATAGCTGATTAAGAAATCCAGAGTCCAGATCTTTGTCCAACACTCCCTGTCCAAAAGTGTGACATTGACTCGCAGAATGTTTATCTTGTTCTTAAAATATTATATAAGGTGCTTTATGTTGAAGAACCAAATATTGCTCAGTTTGAATGTACAGTGCAAGTGGAGTAATGTGGGAGCTAAATGTGTTTTCCCAAATGTAAATGTTTTAATATGTAAATAGTTGCTCCTGTTGGAGACAGTTTGGATTCCTAAATTGAAATATCACATGGAAACGTGCAGTTTCACATCCGGTTCTATTACTGCTTTGTCTATTTTATTGTTTTCTGTACCTAGCTATTTATAAAACCTGTGCTATATTTAAAAAACAAAGTATGTATGCTCCAGGCTTTAAAGATTGCTCCTTGAATCTTACCAATAAGCTTTTTAAAAGAGTAAACACTTTACATTTTATACAAAGAAGAGTGGGAAGCTGACACAACACAATGGAATCAAGAGAGCATTTCTATTTATTAAAACCTGTTTATTTTTTTGCTTAGAACTTCCAATGGAATGTTTTAAACCTGATGGGTTTTTTAGTATTCCATTTTTGTGTGAAGAATGGGGAAATGAGTGTGTTGAGGATTGTTAGAGCTGTTACATTTCTTTAGCAATGTGCAGTCTCACACTTCTTTTAAGACTCTGCCTCCATCATTGTAATGGCAATTATGAACTATATAATAAAAATATACCATACAAAGATTGCTCTCAATCATGTTCTATGATCTCCTTCAAGTATTTCTTTTGCTGACTTAACAGATTCTACTGCTAGTTGTGTGGAACTTCTCCCCATTCCTTCCTCTGCACTGTTCAACTGAAAGGCACCATGTGGCACCCCGGGATACGATGCTGTTGGAATGCCTTATGTCTCCTCCATCAGTGTCTATGATGACTCTGGGCTGGAGCTGTAAGGGCAGAACCGGCTGCACTGCGTAGCAGTTTGGGAGACAGTCCATGAGACCAAGCTGCTGGGGGGAGTGGACTGGGAGGTGAATGTCTGAGGCTCATTTATGGGAGATCCCATGGGCTGTGCAGATGTGTTTAGCAACCACTACTTTTAGGCAGAACAACTCTTTACCTTCAGTAGCTCTGCTGTTGTGCAGAAGGTCAAATTTGCATCTAAGCCTTTCCAAGGTGATGAGTTTTGCTTTCAGTTAAGACACAACCCTGTAATTTTATCGTCTAGGACTGACTCTCATTGGCCTAGTATGCCCTAACAGTTGTGGAAACCTACAGGTTTTAGCACTTGGGGTTTTGAAAATACAGGCTTGCTGCACAGAAAAAGTAGCCAAAGCATTTATGTTTGTTTAATTTAGGTCTTTAGCTATTTCTGGTTAAGAGACTCTGTGAATCTTCTTCTTTCAAACTGAACAGTCTCTTTTAACTATGACTGAGTTAAAAAAAAAAAAAAAATCTGCTAGAATTTTTTTTCATATATCTCCACATATGGATTTGCAGCAGATTATTCAGTGAAATAGATCAAAAGTCCTTTGGTCTGCAGCCTCAGGCTCCTGTCACTGTGTACAGGGTGAATACAATATGTGCCACCTACGTTGTGGAAGGAAAGCTTGACTGATGCATAGTAAGTTTCCAAGGGTACAAAACCCATCCTGGTCTCAGTGAGGGTAAGATCAAACATTTATTTTAAGCAATTACGAAAAGAATTACACAAACCAGACAAAGCTAGAGCTGGTGCGAACACATGGGATTTGTGTTCACGTAAACTTAAGCTTCAGAGCAGTAGTCAACTTCTGGGTATAAGTCTTAATATTTTTGCCTAATTTGTCCTTCAGTTCCAGTGCTCCTCCCTAGTAGTGCTCATGGTGCAGTGGGTGCTTTGTAATCAGCAGAGACAGACCCTGCCTGGCCCTGAAGGCGGAGAAGTTTCCCTGAAGGTAACTCCACTTTACTTAGCATAAAAGGAGAAAGCTGACCTTGTGCACGCGCACACACTGTTAAGGAATCCCTTGTAATCTGTCTGCCTCTAAGTCTGGTACTTCCACAGAGCAACAGCTGGCTGATAATTTACAAAGCACACAAATGAATGTTCCCTGATGTAAAATTCTTGAGTTCAGAGTGGGTGCAGTCACCTGCAGAGGTGACCTCAGTAGCCATTCACGGCAAACACAAAATAGCCTCAAAATATGACATCTTCTTTGTCCAAAAGGCCTGATCTATACCAGCAGCAGAGCTCTCTAAGGAGCTGTTTCCCATTGATAGTTTCAAACACAAAAGCTGAGCAGAGCTCTATTCTCCCATCTCCCCTCTTTCACTTAGTGCTGATACTAGCTTTCTGGTGGGGTGTCACCTCTGCAGCCCACCTACCCCAATGTCCCTTTTCTGCAAAGAGAAAGCTTAGAACTTGTGCTGAAGCCTGTTTTTAAGTGGAAGCTTATAACACAGAGGGTGGTTATAAAGCAGGGAATTTGAAGGCTGGGTCATACAATACAGATGAAGATGCAGATTATGGGTCTCCAAGCTACAGCCCTTGAGTTTAATTTATGTAAATGTGCACTCCAGTGAACCAAAGCCTGGGATCTGTCTAAACTTGCCACAATCCCATTCCTTTTGGCTAAATGAAGCAAACAGGATCACACAGGCAAGGGCTCTGTGAGTCTGAAGTGTAGCTTCTGTTTTATATTCCTAGAAATTACTTCCTGGAATGGTCACAGATCTAACACCAGGTCTGTGGGGTTTTTGTTTTCAGTCCTTTGCAGTCCTGGCTTTGTTGAACTGGTTAATTTAAAAGCGCAGATTTTGAACTGTTTGCACAGGCTCTTTTCTTTAAATATTTGCAGTGTATTCTAAATATTTCACAATGGGAGGGAAGGACAGAAAGGTGACTCAAGCATGGAAGGGAGCTTTGAGTTTCAAACATGTCTGTAATAGTTCCCCTTTCTTTGTAACTTTCTTATAACACACATTCAGGTGCCCTGGCTTTATCCCCTGTGGAATTATGTTCTGCCACTACAAGTTCTCATGTGACATCCTCCCTATTCACCTATCTCATGTTCTTCACAAAAAAAAAGAGAGAAAAAGCAAGCAAGCATAAAATCAGAGTACACCTTATGAACTATGGCTGCAGTTCTGCCCATTGTAAGTCACAGTGGTTTTGTTTTCAGATTACTACAGGCTTCTTCTACAATACCAGCCTACCAGAACTATATAGTTGTAGTAGAGTGTTCCTGGTCATTTTTATTTAAGGCTTGCCTAGTCCTTTATTCTTGAATGTCCTAACAGGATTAGCAAGTGTCCCACTGTTCCCTTTCCTCAGGCTGCTGCAGGATATAGTTCTCTTCCATAACTGTGGCTGCTCAAGTTACTGTGTTCATACCGTGCACTGTGACATTTCTTCTCTGTACTTTTTTACCCCTAGGAGGTGTCATGCAAGCTTTTTAAATTAAAGCCTTTTACTAATGAATGCGTCCATTTACTAGGGAAAGTAACAGATACTGCAAGGAAGCAGTTGTGGACTGCAGCTCGAAAGAGCATTCTTTTCTGAGTCAGCATTGTGGAATTTTAACTGTTGCTTTTGAAGAAAGCAGCACAGCACAAAGAACAGGGACAAGGAAACAGACTAGCTTCGGAACAGTTAAATTGTTACAGCACCCGTGGTTCTGCAGGATCACTTCCTTATCCTCTCAGCCAGTCCTTTTAACTGAGCATTGGTTGTCCTTAAGACTCTGAGGGTAAAAGCAGCTCTTAGCAGCCACACTTGCGTGCAGGAGCTTCCTACTCCTGAGACAGCTCTTTTGCTGAACAAACCCTGAAAGAGAATCTGAAAATAGAGCACTCAGAGGCGCTGGAAAGGATTCAGGATCAACTTAGGATTTGACTCTTGTGCCTTGGTGGATGTTGCATTAACATTGATACTTCCAGATGTCCCTGCTCACTGGTCCAGGTCTTCTGCCTCACAAAGATCCTGATGGATGCTGCAGGTTCAGGAACCCACGGATACACTCCACGTTTACTCTAAGTCAATATTGCAACTATTACTGGACCTAATTTAATTTGAACCCTGACTATATGATTTATAGCTACAGATGATAAGCCACAGTGACACAGATATGCTATGGTGAAGTTTTCCTCCTACAAAGTGACCATGTAATAGAGGATTTCACATCTCCTATTATTTTGTTCCCACGTGTCATTTCAGCTTCTACTGCGGTTAGGTTAGCCGTATCACTTGGGTAAACTGATGTCTCTAACCTGTCTTGGAAGCCCATCCAGGCTTTTCCAAGCCTTCTGACAAGTCCTGCAGCAGGATGCTCCTGCTCTTCTGCCCATGCAGGCTGGATGTTTTAATCCATGTGTGAGCAATGCTTTGGTTTGCCTCTCTACTTATCTTCCTATTTTGTTTCTTGTAAGGGCACACTTGTTTTCTTCTATTTTCCCTGCCCTTTGCTTATCTGTTGTAGCCTTTCCCCTAAATCTGGCCTTTCTGTCAGGGAGGAACCACTCTGTCAGGCACTCAACTTTATCACGATTTTTTCAGCAGTGTCTGCATAAAAACAACAACAAAAAAGAACTCACCACATAAACCACACTTCTGGGAAGTGTATTCCTGGTTTTTCCTAGTTGTCTTGTAAAGTATTAAACTAGGTCATTTAAAAATATCCCAGGTTGTGCATTGGTTTTTCAGTTGTGTTGCTAGGCCTACACCAGACAGAAGTACTGACTGTGAAGGTTTCCAGCCTCTGCTAATTGACACATATTCAACCATTATGGGCAATTTATCCTCAAATAAGACCCAGAACTATTAATTTAGTAGTTTCGAGATTGGAAATAAAAGAGGATTCATTTCAGTGAAATCGTACAAAAACACTTAAGGAGAAACAAAACAAATAGCTGATTATTTCCAGAAGCTGGAAGAACATAACTGCTGTTAGGGCAGGCAGGTTTGTTGTCTGCCATGAACCGCTCTGCCTTGTGCTCCAGAAAAAACACTGAGCGTGGTGCGCTTGCAGATGCATTTTTGAACCTATAATCAAACGTGTTTTAACCTGGGGCAGGGTCTCACCGGGTCTCGGGCCCGGGCGGAAGAAGCCGCTGCTGTAACGCCTCTCCCAGCCGCTGAGGTAACGCCACTCCAGGCCGCCACAGGCTGCGCCGGCTGCGTGCGGGACGTGACCGGGCCTCCCGCCTCAGCCAGGCCTCCTGCAGGGGCAGGCGGTCCGCTGACGGGCAGGCAGCATAACCAATAGTGATGCGCGGCGGGCAGTGCGGGCCAATCACTGACGGGCAGGGGCGGGGCGAGCTGTGTGCCGGTGGTGCTGGCGGTCGCTGCGGCAGAGGGCAGGTGGCAGCGGAACAGAGTGGAGTGTGCGGCTGTGTAGTGTCTGGAGCAAACATGTCTCTCTCCAACAAGCTCACTCTCGACAAGGTGGACGTGAAGGGCAAGCGGGTCGTCATGAGGTGAGGATCCGGGGACCGCTTCAGGCATTCCAACTGTGCCGTGAGGGGAGGAAGGGTCCAGCCTGGCCCGGCCCGGCCACGGCAGTCCCCGGCGGTACTGTTGGTGCCCTTGTCCCGGGGCCGGCCGTCAGTCCCGCGAGCAGGGCGGGAGGGTTGTGCCTCTCAGGGATGGAGGAGGGTGGGAGCCGCCCGCGGCCTCCTGGGCCCCGCGGGCGCTGACTCGCCCCATCTCCGAGCTGCGGTGGGGCCGGGCGGGTGCCCGGGGGCTGGGCGGGTT